ACTCTAGGTTTTATTATAAGAAAATACAGCATGTGGGCTGGGCGCAGTGGCTCAAGCCTGTAATCCCAGCACTTTGGGAGGCCGAGACGGGTGGATCACAAGGTCAGGAGATCGAGACCATCCTGGCTAACACGGTGAAACCCCGTCTCTACTAAAAAATGCAAAAAAACTAGCCGGGCGGGTTGGCGGGGAGGCTGAGGTAGGAGAATGGCGTAAACCTGGGAGGCGGAGCTTGCAGTGAGCTGAGATCCGGCCACTGCACCCCAGCCTGGGCAACAGAGCAAGACTCCGTCTCAAAAAAAAAAAGAAAATACAGCATGTGGCTTAAACGATTACTGGCTAAATTACAAGTAAATGGTACCCACATAATCTACTTTTCCAGAGAACAATCTAGCAACATTAATGCAGCACCTTACAAATGTATGTAACACTTGAGGTAATCTATTAGAGGTGAACACAAAGATGTAGATAACAGGGTGTTCATCGTATCATGATGAGTAGCAACCAAAAAACAGGAGCCAAACAGTTCAATAGTGGAGGAAGAGTTAAATTACTGGTGCATCACAAAATAAATCATATAACAAGTTTTTTTAATGTCCCTGAGGAATATTTAATGACACAGTAAAACACCCATGAAAATAGCAAGAAAAATCAATACAATTTTATTTTAACTTGGTAAATGTGTGCATAAAATGCATAGACACAGGCAGAAAACTAAAAAGAGATAAACCAACATGTTAACAATAATTATATCTGGGTAGTGAGATTCCAGCTGATTTTGTTTTCTTCTTTAGAGTCTTCTAAGTTTTCTGTAGCAAACAGTAATTTCTTTTATTTAAAAGGAAGGGAATGAACTCTTTTGGAGGCTGGGTTTCCATTGTAAAAGACCATAATATATGAGCATCAATCCCGCTAAAAAACAACACATAGAATTCCTTCTCCCTGTTCAACAGGAAGCAACTTTGTATTTGCTCCTGGGTCTCTCCCTCTTCCACTCATTCTAACCTATCAATAATAAGACTGGTAAATCTGCACCTCAAACATACATGTACAGACATGTATAGACAAAGACACTCACTTTTCTTTAAGTAACACGAAGACAATGATCATTGCGCTAAAACCCCTTAGGAAGGCCAATATCATGACCCTACCTGAGCTGGGTCTTCTTCCAGCTGCCCAGATTCTTCCGTGTCCCTTCCTCCCTGCTGGCTGTGCTCCAACCTTGCTGACCTTCTTTCTCTTCCCACATCTCCCTAAGATCTCTCACACTTCATGAAGGCTGAACCACAAAGTTCTGTCCCTAGATCTTCACATTCCTAGTTCTTTCTTATCATCCAAGGCCAGAATGCACCTTCTCAGAGAGGTCTCCCCTGACTGTTCTCCATCCCAACCTAGGCTAATAATGTCTGGCTCCACTCTACCTGGACACTGCCCCTAACAGTCACTCTATCACATATCCTGTTCTATGTTCTTCAGGGCACTAAAACCATCCCAAATTACTGTGTTTTCTTGTTTATTATCAGCCCCTCCTGTTAGGGCATAAGCACTTATATCTAGCACTTATACATTCCAAAAACTTGACAAAATTACTCAACACACTGTCTCATCTGTGAAAGACCCAGAGTTGAAAATCATTTGGCCCAAAGTAAATGTTCAGGGCTAGGCATGGTGGCTCACACCTGTAATCCCAGCACCTTGGGAGGCTGAAACGGGGGATCGCTTGAATCCAGGAGTTCAAGACCAGCCTGGGCAACATAGTAAGACCGCATGTGTATAAAAAAATACAAAAATGAGCCAGATGTGGAGGTGTACGCCTGTAATCCCAGCCACTGGGGAGGCTGAGGTAGTCACCTGAGTCCAGAAGGCCAAGGCTACAATGAGCCAAGATCACACCACTGTACTCCAGTCTGGACAACCAGAGTGAGACCCTGTCTCAAGAAAAAAAAAACAAAAAAAAGCAAATGTTCAATATATTGTAATTTTTTTAAATTTTGTTAATATTTTTATTAAAATAGAACCTTGCATTCTAAATAAAAATTCATTGTACATTTTTGAGGGTGTCACAGATACATTTAAAAAACTACAAGATGAGAGAGAAGATGCACTTCTCCCTATTCCTACCACTAAGTACAGCCAAAAACCCTGGACAGTATATAGAAAACAAATATGACAGATACATGGAAAGAAGGCAGAAGACCACCTAGAGACCTTGAAACCTGAGGATCAATACAGCAATGCATTCACTGAGTTGTCTTTTTGCTTCTTATACCCCAGATTGGGTGTTGAAAAATCCAAGAGCCTAGAAACACCAACAGGTATACATACACAAACACACAAGAAAAAACAGCTCTCTCAAACCAAAGGACCAAGAGAGGGGCAGCCTGGCAAGACAGAAAATTTTTAGAAAATAGCTACTCTACTTCAGCCAAGCACCATGGAAAAACCACACCAGCAAAGAGCAAGTAGGGAGCCTAGACTTCCAACCTCATGTGACCATGGCAAGGTGCCCCAACATTATCCCCTGCCAGAGTGGTGTCACAAAAGACCAAGCAAGGAGCTGGGGCTTTCATCCCAACCAAAAGATAGAGAGTCTTCCATCATGCTGCACAATGTTTCCCCAGTGATGAGGCATCCGTTCCACTCCACCAGTATCAGTGGAGGCAATAATGAGGATCCTTCCCCCTCAGCAGCCAGGGTAGCATCAGAGGAGTCCTGGTGGAAAGTCTGGCCTCGCACTCTCACCCAGCAGTAATGAGGAGCTCTTCTACCTCCTGAGGTGACAAAAGCAGTCCACTGGGGATCTGTGCTTCCATCCCAACCCAGCAACATCAATGTAGCACCCTTCTTCCCCCTGCCAATTCAGTGTCAGAGGTACTCTAAAATAGAAGATTCAAATAAAATCCACCACCACCCAAAATATTTCTTGTGTATAGAGTTTCAGTTTTGCAGGATAAAAAGGTTCTGGAGCTCTATTTCACAACAATGTGAATATATTTAATACTACTGAACTGTACACTTAAAAATGGTTAAAATGATAAATTCTGTTATGTGTTATCTACCACAATAAAAACTTTTTTTAATGTACCAATAGTAATCAAAAGTAAAAGACTGCTTATCATTCCATGCAATTGCTCATTTCCTTAAGACATGTGGAATAGTAGTTATATATGATAAATAATTAAAATTATATTAACATACAACCTATTTTACTGCTTTTGTGAAATACTATATTTGAAACTCAATCAATCCATGCCTGTGCTGTGGGTAAAACACACACACACACACACACACACACACACACACACACATTTTTCTAAAACTCTCAGCCTTTCTAACCATGGATTACATGGTAAAATTATTCAAGTATTACTTTTTCTGATATAATGATAAGAACATTTAATGAGTGAAAATTTAATAGCAAAAACGAGACACATAGATTTGTTAGAAAAAAATACTTTCTCTGAGGCACAAATTTCTTAGCAGAATCTAAATCAGAATAATTAAAGACAAGAAGTGGTTTACCTCTATTTGGACTTCCACAGATCAAGTTTACTATGTAAATCTGAGGGTTATTCATAATAGTTACTGAAATTTTAGGTTTTATCATAAAAACCAAAATGTGTTTCATTTAAAGCAGAAGAACCATGGTAAACAGCGTATTTAAGTGGTTCCATTCCACACTTATAAGCAGTGTTACCTTCACACGTTTTGCAAAACTCTGAATTGAAAGGTACACCTCTCTACCTCTTATAGAAAAAAAGACCTGTAATCCCAGCACTTTGGGAGGCCAAGGCAGGCTGATCACAAGGTCAGGAGATCAAGACCATCCTGGCTAATACAGTGAAACCCCATCTCTATTAAATATACAAAAACAAAAAATTAGTCAGGCTTGGTGGCGAGCACCTGTGGTCCCAGCTACTTGGGAGGCTGAGGCAGGAGAATGGCGTGAACCCAGGAGGCGGAGCTTGCAGTGAGCCGAGATTGCGCCACTGCACTCCAGCCTGGGCAACAGAGCGAGACTTCACCTCAAAAAAAAAAAAAAGAAAAAAAGGAATGACTGGTTGAAATAATGCTGCACACTACATTCTCCTCATGAGAATTCACAATCACAATACACATTAGCATATTAAAAACTGGGAAAAATTGTACAACTGAAAATATTTCTAAGTTAGACTCATTGCTTTCCAAATTTATATATAGCCAGACCTACTTTATTTTTTACCTGTTAACACAACATCAAACACTAATATTTTCAGGCAGAACTTCTCAAACCATAAAGTTCAAACAAATCACCTAGAGATCTCACTAAAATGTAGATTCTGATTCAGCAGGTCTGCATGGGGCCTAAAAGTCTGCATTTCCAACATGCTTCTAGGTGATGTCAACGCTGCTGGTCCAGGGATCACCCTTTAGCAAGGAGCTAGAGAAGACACTTCGAGAAAGGCTACTAGAGAGACCTGTTTATCACTATACAGTTCGGTGATATGAATTTAATACTTACAAACTCTACTGTATATACAATAAAGGCATATAAAGGACTAGAAGAGGATAGGTTAAAAACAGAATGGGGGCTCTATAATTTTGACTGGCAGGGTATTACAAGGAAAGGAATAAAAATAGGACAGCGTAAGCAGAAAAATATAAAGGGACTCCTCCCCCTAAAAAAGGCAAAGGATATGGGAGAAAGAGATGGAAGCTGGAGTTGGTGAGGCATAAGAAATGCCAGTATATAGGAAGCACTGAGACATTTTCTAGTTTAACATTACCAAAATGGGACAAGCAGGCAGAAGCCATTTAAAGAATTTCTATTTTAATCACTAAAAGGCTCTTACAACATGTTCGGATGAACACTCTGTGGTACAAAGGTTTGTCAAAGTTCAAAAAGGTCTCTTGGGATGAAAAATGAATTCTACAAACACGACATTACTTGCAGAACCACTAAAATTGCAGAAGAAACAACAATTTTTAATGTAGAGTAACAGGTAAAACCTAAGTCAAACCTTTTCTTGGATTAGTCTTTGAAGATGAATCCCACAGGACAACATGGCAGTGAATAAGGTCAACATGTACTGCTGAACTTTGCAGATGGCAGAGGCCAGGGAGTTTATTACTGAGTTCAGTCCCACCTTTTCAATAACATTCTGGAAGGCAGTAGGAGAATGGCGAGTGATTCTACACAAGGCCTACAAAGACAAGAGAACAGATCTGTCAGGCAACTCCAAGTGCATCAATCATTCCCCTGAAAGGTAACACAGGCTTCTGTGTCAAGGAGTAGAAGGTGCTTACTTGGCTCTTTTATTACATATTTTGGCACAAGAAAGTTGGAAATTTTCAACAAACTTAAAAATACAACAATCTGGCTGCCAATAAAAGCTAAAGTTGTTTTAAAACACTAGAGACTACTGTAGCAATAACCATTAAATTGATAAATCCATAAACCTATATAGAAAAATTTCCCTTTAATTAATAAAACACATTATCAAATACCTTCAGATAATGAACTAAGTGCTGAAAAACAGTTGTAAAAGTGAATATCTGGCATTTATTGTTTACAATGTGAGGAACACTATCTGTAAATATCTGAAGATTATTTAATTCTTCTAACAAATATGAGAAAGGTAGTTTATTATCTTCATTTTATAGATGATAAAACTAAAGCATACAGTAGTTAAGTAACTTGCTGAGAGGCATATAGCTAGTAAGTAGCAAAGCAGGGAATTAAACTGATGTAATCAGACCCCAGACTGTTCCTAAATTGCTCTCAGACTATTAGACATGAAACTTAAAATCAGCTAACAGAATGTATTAAGTATTGGAATAGAAGTGGGCTCAATTAATTGTGCTTGGAAAGAAAGAAAAAGTCAACAAAAAGTATATAAAGAAGATGACGCTGAGCCAGTTTTTGAAGGGTAGATGGGAAATAGGTGAACAAGTGAGTTAAAAAGAAATTCAAGCTTGAGAGAACAGAACAAGTATTCACATGGAGACATAAAGATGTAAGCTGTCTGATGCAATTAGAACATTTATCAAGTGCAGAAAAAGAAGTACACAGTAGGAAAGAAGAAAACCTTATGATCTATCTAGAAAAGCAGGCTGGAGCCAGAGTTGGTCAACAAAGCTAGGAACTTAAAAATGTATGCCATAAGGAAAGGGAAGGTCTTGAAAGGTCTTAAGGAAAAGAAAGACATGATGATATTCCGTGTGTACATGAGAGACTCCAAAGAGAGAAATAAGCTTAAGCTAGGAATAGTTTTATAAAAACACTCATTATAATATCATATAAGCTCTCTCTCCCTGATTTATATTTTAAACAGATTTATAATCTTGATTAATAACAAAAAGATCAAATATAAAACAAACAAATAATGATGTCAAAAGGAGGGACAGGAGGGAGGGAGATATAAAAAAGATACAAGACTTTGAAAACTATTTCCATTTTCTTAATCATCTTAGAAAAAAATTAAAAACCTTTTTCTCTCCAAGAATAAATTTCCTTTAAATGTCATTCAGTAGAGACGGGGTTTCACCGTGTTAGCCAGGATGGTCTCAATCTCCTGACCTCAGATGATCTGCCCACCTCAGCCTCCCAAAGTACTGGGATTACAGGTGTGAGCCACTGCATCCAGCTCCAGTCTTTATGAAAATGCCAAGATGACTTTATTATAGCCAGAAAGGAAAAGGTAAATATAACTCACGACAAGGAAGGACTTTTTTCCAGATGCTTCCTCTTGAGGGCAGGACTGAGAGGTGGGAGGTAGGAATGGGGCCACAAAGAACCTTTGATCTTTCACGTTTATACCATTCAAATTTTTCCAGTAAATGCATATTACTTTATAGTAATATTTAAAGTTGCACTCCAATGCCAATGACTATATTAGATACTTTTTAACTTGTATTGAAATAAACATTTATGGGAGATTTTTTAATTAATAACGTATACATTTACTGCCATTTCTGAAATAAACAAGTAAATATATACACTGAAAAAATGAGCATTTGTAGAGCACGAACTATATACTTCTCCCTAAAAACAAGTCCCTTTCCTTGTGGAACTATCATATGAAACACCTATAAAATTCTACAAACACCTATAGAATTAATAATCACTGACTCCATTTCAAACATATACCAGGGATTTTTATTCATTTAGAGATATCCATATCAGAATGACATTCAATCAAATAATTAAACTCTGCTTTGGGCATTTTTCAAATAACTTTTCAGTGTGTCCTCTTTCTTTCAAAAAAGCTACAGATGGGTAAGTTAGATATGGTTTAGAAAATACGAAACTAGGGTTCTTCAAATCTAAACTCCAAATTGCATGAGTTTTGGTAGAAAAGTATTAATAGTAGTAATATCTGAAAAAAGGAATATTAAAAATGAATTCACTTTATTTTTTTCTCTGTGTTCATGTAACACAATAGAAAAATGAATTCCATTCTAAAAATCTGGTTATAATTTTAAAATTTTGAGAGGTAGGGGTGTGTGTATGTGTGTGTGTATAAAAAGCATTCTTTAATTAAAAAATAAAAATTGTGAAAGTTTTAAAAATGAATCTAAAATTGCTGTTTATGAAATCAAAACAGTATTGTTTATTATTTTCCTAATCCAAGTATTTTTTTTTAAAAAAGATCATTTGAAGTGATGTCGCTAAAGATCAGAATTTTTCTAGCAAATTAGGATTCTCTCAGCAATGACTTCAACACAGCAAAACAGTAAGTCTCATTAGCACTATAACAATTCTTGGAGGAGCTGGCACTGCAAAACCGACTTTCCACTGATATAAAATCCCTACCCAGTTATGATGGGGAAATGTCTTAATAAAAGATTTTCCCAGACTACTTCTGGACAAATGGAATGGATCTTCTTCAGAATGCCATGCAACAGCCTAACAGACTTTCCGTTTTGAAAAGCTCATGCAGAAAATACTCTAATTCACTTCTAAATATCAAACTCGGTTGAAGGCTTCTGAGCAACTGAGAAGATGCACAGAGCCTTACCAGCACACTAGTACTTGTATTTTCTGAATCAAAAAAAAAGAAATCAAATCAAATCTGATCTTCAGTGATGTGTTTTTTAAACATTTACTTATTAAAATAGAGTCTGGTCGGGCACAGAGGCTCATGCCTGCAATTCCAGAACTCAGGGAGACTGAGGCAGGCAGATCACAAGGTCAGGAGGTCGAGGCCAGCCTGGCCAACAAGGTGAAACCACATCTCTACTAAAAATATAAAAATTAGCCTAGCCTGCTAGCGGGTGCCTGTAATCCCAATTACTCGGGAGGCTGACCCAGGAGAATTACTTGAAACCGGAAGGTGGAAGTTGCAATGAGCCAAGATCATGCCACTGCACTCTAGCTTAGGCAACAAGAGTAAAACTCCATCTCAAGAAAAAAAAAAAGACTCTGAGATTATATTTTAAAATTGGAAAAAATTGTTCCAGTTCAAAATTCACTTCAAAATTTACCTCGAAAAGAACATGTAGTGTTACCTCCAGAATTTGAATTTTCTTAGTCTGTTCAATAAAAGCAGTTTCCAAGAAACAGACTCACTCAAAATTGAAGGCTGCATATCTGTTAGAAACATATGAGCAGAATCGCCAAGGAAGAAAACGTTTAAGAACCATTTCTTTTTGGTATTTCAAATGATTTTTTGATGTCATATGAAATTACCCTGGGAGGTTTTTCAAACTACACACACTCTTATCTGACCCCTGAGAGATCTTAAGATATATCAGAATAGGGGCAGGGGGTGGACAGAGAAGAGGAAGCAGTCAATGTTGCTTGAAAAGCTCCCCTCCAACCCCAGTGAGAACCACTATCCTGCATACTTCTTCACTTTTTGACACCTTTTCATCTCAGCACTTCAGTAATTATGATTACTTTAGCTACCTCTCTCATAGGAGCCACTGTACTCAATCCAACTCTACAGGTTTCTCTGGTTCTCACTATGGTCCCTATAGAGATTTTCCCTATAATCCCAACAAGTCTAAGAATCACTTTTATCTATTCAACACATTCCCCAAGTCAGGTCCACTCCTTCCAACTACCAATACCTACCAATGCTGCCACTCCTGAGTGGAAAGGACAAGTTAGTTATATTTTACTCTAAGCCATACTGGTGTATTTTAAGAGCTGCAAGGACTAGGGCAGTGGTTCTTAAATATCAGCAGGCAAAATCACCTGGCAGCATGTTGAAATAGAGATTACTGGCCTCTCCCCACGGGGGACTCTTGTTCAGTAAGTCTGAGTTTGGGCCCAAAAAACAACACTTCTATCAAGTTCCCAGGAAATGTTAATATTGCTGGTGTGGAGAAAACACACTGGTGTAGAACAATCTATGGAGCCAAGAGATCGTTAGGAGAAATAGGTCAGAAAATCACTGACAGGCAGGAAATCCAGATGGTTACAAGTGGAACAACGTGTACAGGTTGCTCCCTCAGCACTAAGCCATGCTATCCTCCACCTGCTCATTCATTCATCTGATTAGCAGATATCTACTCAGCACCTACCACATGCCCAGAAAAGGAACAACAGGACTTCTGTCTTCCTAGAACTTACACTAACGAAAAAAACTGTGCATGAGGCCAGATGCGGTGGCTCACGCCTGTAATTCCAGCACTTTGGGAGGCAGAGGCAGGTGGATCACATGGTCAGGAGTTCGAGACCACCCTGACCAACATGGTGAAACCCTGTCTCTACTAAAAATACAAAAATCAGCCAAGCGTGGTGGTGCACATCTGTAATCTGAGCTACTCAGGAGGCTGAGTCAGGAGAATTGCTTGAATCCAGGAGGCAGAGGTTGCAGTAGGCTGAGATCACACCACTGCACTCCAGCCTGGGTGACAGAGCGAGACTCTGTCTCCAAAAAAAAAAAAAAAAAAAACACTGTGTATAAATACATTAAATAAATAAAGCTGTGTTCATTAGAGGGGACACAGCAGAGTCAGGGAGGTCCTAATTGAGGAGGTGACACTTAAGCTGAGATCTGAAATAAGGAACTGGCGATGTAAAAACCAGCAGAGAACATCCAAGCAAAGGAAATAGCAAGGGGGAAAGGTCCTGAGGCAGAAAAATGCTTGGAAATCCTAGGAAATGTCTGAAGGTAAGTTTGGAGACAGAGTGAGGGAGGGAATGAGTGTTACGAGATGGAACCGAAGAGGTAGGCAAGGGCCAAATCATGCA